TTGTGAGAAGTTATGTGTTTAATTTATTTAAAATTAGGACAATTGTTATATTTGGAACAAAAATATATGTGTTAGAATCTAGGATGGGGTAAGGATCCTTGGATTGGGTAATAAGACATTTGGGTTGAACCACATTAAAAGATTGAATCCAATCGATTAGTTAGTTCAACTCAAGAGCTTATATACTGATTATTTTACAAATCTTGAACTTCTGATGTGGGATGCACTCTAAGTGTCTTACAAAAAATGAATAACACAAATAAAAAGTTTATAAATAAATTTGCCGTACCCTCACCTTGTTTTTTCGAAAGTTTCTGCACCTGCGCACCAGTCGTGCACCCGCACCGGTCTGAGAGAAAGAGTATCAGATCTAAAGTATATAAACAGAGTGTTTTTTATTGTGGAACTGCTTTCCAGAACTATATGTCCATACATATAAATAGAGGACTAAACAACACAACCATTACAAATAGACACAACACTTACTAACCAACACATCTCTTGGAAACTGTCATAAAAAGCTGCCTAACTGCTGCCCTTTTTTTCTTTATTTATTTTCTTTAAAATTAAACTAAATTCTGGACTGGAATTAATCAAATTCACCCCCCTTGATTCCAGTCCTCATTACTGCCAAGTCTTCAATGCCCATCTGTTGCCTCATCCCAATAAATTTGACCCTCGGTAATGCTTTTGTCAAAATATCAGCTTTCTGCTCGTCACCGCTTACATGCTTAATCCTTACTAGCTCTTTCTCGACACATTCACATACGAAATGATATCGAGTGTCAATATGCTTACTTCTCCCATGGAACACTGGATTCTTCATTAACATGATTGCAGCTTTGTTATCCACGTGAATTGTTATGGGTTCCATGCTTTGACTGGTGATTTCTTCAAGCAAACCTTTTAACCAGACAGCTTGACATGCGGTTGCCGTTACCGCCATAAACTCACCCTCACATGAAGATAGTGCAACAGTATTCTGTTTTTGGCTGCACCATGCTATCGGACCACCCCAATAATAGAAAATCATCCCATTTGTACTCTTTCCATCTGCCCGATCAGTCGCATGTGAGCTGTCACTATAACCAACCAAATCTGCATCACCATTCCTCCTGTATCGAATCCCATCATTGATTGTACCCTTCACATATCGCAGCACCTGTTTTACAGCTTGCATATGTGATGTTTTTGGTAACTCCACGAATCGACTGGTTATTCCAATTGCATAACTGATATTTGGCCTTGTATGGGTTAGATATCGAAGACACCTGATATTGCTTGGTACTTAGTTGCATCAACAGACTCCAGCTCCTCATCTTTTCTAAGCTTGAAACTTGGATCCATAGGAAATTTTGCAGGATTACACTTCCACAAATTTGCATTTTTTAGAACCTTTGTTGCGTATCCTGTTTGCTTCAAAGTAATGCCAGTTTTGTCATGATTCACCGCTATTCCCAAATAGTATGTTAGAAGCCCCAAATCACTCATTTCAAAACAGTTTTTCATCTGTCTTCTGAACCCAACAATCTCATCCTTTCATGGACGTGTAATGATTAGATCATCAACGTATACACCTACTATTAATGGTCCATTCTTTGTGGTTCGCTTGTATACTGCATGTTCATGTGGACAACGCTGGAAACCAAGTTGTTGTAGAGTTGCATTTAGCTTTGAATTTCAGGCTCTTGGGGCTTGCTTCAGGCCATATAAAGCTTTTACCAGTTTGTACACGAGATGTTCCTTTCCTGGCTTCTCGAACCCCTCGGGTTGTGATACATATACATCTTCCTTTAAGTCTCCATGTAGGAAAGCCGTCTTTACATCAAGATGGTGAACTTCCCAACCATCTCGTGCAGCTAGGGATAGAAGCAAACGGACTGTCTCCATTCGAGCAACTGGAGCAAACACCTCATTGTAGTCAATACCATGTTTTTGGACATGCCCCTTCACAACGAGTCTCGCTTTATAGCGAATCATATTATCTGTGGCATCCCTTTTAGCTTTATAAACCCACTTCAGACCAATCGGTTTAACTCCTTTCAGGAGTTCAACCAATTTCCAGGTTCCATTCCTTTCTATAAAGTCCAATTTGTCTTGCATTACAGCGTTCCATTCTTTGCTATCTTTGGCTTCATTAAAGGTACTTGGTTATTCATTAGATAGTAATAGTTCTGCGTCATGAAAGTGAGGTGGATTGAAAGCCTTCTCTTGTATCGATTGAGTTCTTGAATACACATCATTTAGGTGGCGAAATCCTCGAGGGGGTGGATCATCATAATGTGAACTTGAAACCGGACTCACACCTGATGTACTGAAATTTTCAAACTCATGCGGGCTGTTTGGAACATTTAGTGGGCTGATAAGAGTGCATGGAACCGAGGCACACGACTTTGGGCTAGACAACGAACAATTCTCTGGTGGGCTAATAGATTCACACCCATTCTGTACGATTGGAGCAGCCAGGCCTTCAGATTGATTGGGTGAGGTATTGAGTGGGCTGCCACCATTTTGAGTCAATCCTTGGCCAGTCACACAAGCTTCATTTTCAACAACAAATTCAACCTGCCTTTCATTTCCCTCTGTCTCCAAATCTTTAGCCCAGTCCCACATTTTGTTTTCTTCAAATTGGACATCCCTGCTAACACATAGCCTTTATGTCTTTGGGTTGTAAAGCCGGTATGCTTTGCTTCCTGGTTCACTCCCGAGATGTACCATTGACTAGCTCCTTTTCTGCCAGCTTTGTTAATTTGGGTGTTGGTACTTTGACATGCGCCATACATCCAAACACCTTTAGGTGTTCCAAATTGGGCTTCCGTCCTTTTAGGGCTTCATATGGGGTCTTCTTTTCTAAAGCTTTTGTCGGAGTTTTGTTCAAGATGTAGACAACATGTCGTACACCTTCTCCCCACAACCATTGGGGTAAATTCATGGCCTTCAACATAGATCTTGTGGTTCCAAGAACAGTTTGGTTTCGGCGTTCAGCCACACCATTCTGTTGTGGCATATATGGTGCGGTTAAATACCTATTTATACCTTCTTCATTGCAAAGTTGTTCAAAGTTGGTAGAGACAAACTCACCTCCATGATCAGTTCTCAATGCTTTCACCTTGTAACCACTTTCCAATTCAACTGACTTCTTGAACTTGTTGAATGCCTCACATGCTTGGCCTTTGAACTTGATAACATATACCCACATAAATCTACTGAAATCATCAACTAGCAATAAAAAGTACTTGTTCCCAGATGGTGTACTCGGTGTAATGGGACCACACAGATCAGCATGTATCAGTTCAAGGGGTTGCTATGCTCGATAACAAATTTGGGATGGGAATGGAAGACGTCGTTGCTTCCCAATGAGACAAGCTTCACACAATTGTGAGTTGTGATTTATGTTTGGCACACCAATCACCAATTTTTCTTTTGATAACTTCCTTATAGCATCAAATTTAAATGTCCAAGGTGTGCATGCCAAATCCAGGCTGCCTCGTCCATCTTTGCAAGTAAACATGTTGGTGGAACTATATGAAGATGTACCTTATATAGTCAGTTTGGAGACTTCTCCACTTTCATCAATGTTGCTCCTGATCGGTTCCAAGATAACGCACCCTAAGTGCATCCCAAACGTCCTTGGCCTCTGCATGTCCTGCTACTTGCATCAGAATGTCTTCCGGTAGATTCTGGAAGATAAAGGCCCATGCCTTCTTTCGGATCTTGACATCCACCTCCATCGTATCCGGTGGTTCTATGGCATCCCAAATTCCTTGGGCATCCATAAACGACTGCATCTTGATATCCCAAGATGTATAATTTGTTGTAGTGAGTATAGGACATTGGTACGTTGTCGAGCCTCCATATCGAATTGGGGTAACATCAACAATATCGTTTGTTTTTTTAGTATTGATGGCCTGCATCACAGACTATTATTTTTTTTCAAGGTGTATTGCAAGAAAACTACTGATCACAGTTCTGTGTTTGATGTGTTTTTCTTTACCAGGGCTCCAATACCAATTGAGATACAGATCTAAAGTATATAAACAGAGTGTTTTTTATTGTGGAACTGCTGTCCAGAACTATGTGTCCATACATATAAATAGAGGACTAAACAACACAACCATTACAAATAGACACAACAGTTACTAACCAACACATCTCTTGGAAACTGTCATAAAAAACTGCCTAACTGCTGCCCTTTTTTTCTTTATTTATTTTCTTTAAAATTAAACTAAATTCTGGACTGGAGTTAACCAACACGGTCGGCGCACCCACACCTGTGCTTCATAGGGTACATCTAATATATATTTTCACTTTTTTTTAATCAAAGTAGGGAAAAATTCTGTTTTGGACCCTTGAGTATATGACCGAAATCACTTTTGGTCCATCAAGTATTACGTTTAACAGTTTTGGTCCCTCAAGTATCTACCAAAATCAATTTTGGTCCTTGAACTATCAGATTCAGTAATTTTGGTCTCTCATGTATTTCCAATCAATCAATTTTAGTCCTACCACTAGTTTTCATCCAAATTTTAATAGTAAAAGCTAAAGAGAAAAAGTGATTACTACAATTCTTGGCAAATAGATAATTTTCCATAAATTAATTACAAAAACTTTTTTCCTTGACTTTATTTTACTGTGTTCTAGAAAATAATTCGCTGTTTTATTTGGCATGCTTAGTTAAATGGAATTGTGTGGTTGTGGTTCTTTATAATTGATAGAAAAAATGTGATCCACACAAATATTTTCCCAAAAATAATGAGAAGAAAATATTAAAACTTTTTTAAAAAGAAAGTGGGAAGAATTATTTTTAACGGAAAGTGTATTATTTGTTTGTTTTGTCAAGGAGTGGATTATTTATCAATACACTCTCTTTCTCTAGTTTTCATTATGCTTTATATTCGTGTTATTGTTTGCGATTGTAGCCATACAAATTTCCAATTATGCTATTTAACCCTAAATAGGTTAAATCCACTTATAGACTAAATCAAAATGACACATCTAAACTTCCTTTGCCTTCTTACATACTATGAAGCTTTGGGTAGTAACTGCTGCAAGGCATCGTAACATGGTTAAGGATGAATACCTTTTGACCCCCACCCCCGGATCAACAGATTTGGGATTGAAGTGCTTTTATTGTCTTTACCTTTTCTTCAGCTAAAGGTTTGAATTGATTCTTTTTACATATTTGAGTAAGTAGCCTTGTTTTCTTTCTTTGGTTTTCTGTAGGGGTTTTAGTAGATAAGAATTTTTTTCTCTTTGTACTAGGGGCGGATCAAACATAATATGGATTGCAGCAAGTGGTGGGAGAGATCGACCAGACCACGTCTCTCGAGAATGGTGCCCTGTAAGATTCCTCCTTTCTCAATCATTTACTTTTGTTTTCTTTATCAATTCCGTGCATAGAAATGCTCATTGTACTCTTGTTAGCCTTTTGCATTGGGTACTAACTTTTGTAATTGATTTGGCATATTTACAGTTCTCTATAAATCTCTTTCTGTTATTGATGATATCGGTTATATTTTGCAAATTGCATTAATTTATTGATTGAGCAAAGGGATTGTATTGCTTTTGCGTGATCAGGCACCATTTGATCCTTTGTCAGTGGATAATATGAGAAGGCTTGTAGAACATGCTGGTGTAACTGGGAATATATATCCATTAGCAATATTATGTTATAACATTATGCCACCACCTCTGCAGGTTTGATTTCTTTCTGATAGGTTCATTGTCGATTTCATTTTCATTTCTCAGCTGTATAATGTGTAGTATATGTACATGTACAGGTTGAGAAAGAAGTTGGGGAGAAACGAGTGATATCCTTTCATGGAGTGGGATTATCTGTGGCCCCCAAAGTGGATTTTCATGCAGTCTCTGCTGCCACTAAAGACCCAGAGGAGGTTAGCATGCTGACAAGTTTAATTTCTTTTACATTGTCATTTTTATGTAAAGTATGAAGTAGAGTCAGCTTTGCTCACAACTCATGCCAGGAAATGGTAAGCTGGTAAGTAATCCAATATTTGTAGGGCTGGCCATGGAGGAGTTGAAGTAGGCAAGTAGCTTGACCATTGTAACCCCTCCCATCCTCCATTGGATTTTTTTATAATGCAATAACAATGGTTTGGCAGCAGCAAAATATGATGTGTAGGTATTGAAAGTGAAAGACATTGTGTTAACTAAAAGGTGTGAATTAGATTGCAATTAAAATTTAGTGTCTAGCGTATCATGTTAAAAGCTTTGAAGAAATAAAAGAGCAATATTGTGAAAGCTAGAATTAGGAGCCAGCATATTTTATAGGTGTGAAAATTTTACAATTCACTATCACGAGACTCTTCTTTCATGATTTCACACTACAAAGACTCAAAGTCGATTGGGCACTGCAACTAGCTTCGCTAAACATCTCTTGCTGATTTCGCCAGATCACTAACAAACATTACACTTTGTTTTAGTTGCATCATGGTAGTTAAACTTGCAATCCGGATTACAATTCTACGATACAGCAGATCGTTTTTTAGGTTTGCTCTCTGAATCGCAAAGATCTGAAATAATGTGACTCGCCGATTCAGACCAGTAAGACCGTTAAATTGGTAGGATAGCAAGGGATCACGAATCGCCGGAAATGATATCCACATGATAGAATATCCAAACAACGCGACTCTTTGGAGGCAGTGCACAGACTACGGGACTAGTCGCAAGTCGGGAACCATATTCACTCTTGTTTAGTAAGAAGTATCCCTTTGGTCTGTGGGATATTACTTTAACTTTTGTTTCTACCCCTGGTATTATTTTTCTTTCATTTCTGCCCAGGTATTTTTTCTTGCCCAGTTATGTTACCTTATTCCGCCAGGTCTTTTTCTTTTCATATTTTTTCTTTATTTTTTTTTACCATGAACAATTATGTTTTAGATGTTTATGAGTGCAGTATTAAATGATCCGTGTCACGATCTTACGAGTTACGATCTTTAGTAAGGACATCGATCCTACATAGAGTCTTGAGTTTGACTACCTTGGGTCTCACCAAAAAAACATGACAATTGTTTCCCCCCAATTTACTAAAAAACCCTACAAAAAGGATTTTAGTAGGCTATCCTCAATATTCAAAAGCGTTTAGAGAAGTCAGCAATGAGATGGAGAATACTTCACCTCCTTAAAAGATTATCTCAAGGGTTCAAGTACTAAATGGTGGGTGTCGAATGGTATGACTATACACTATGAAGAATTTACAAGAATTCTTTAGGTTAATGTGTATATATTCTACTGTGCAAGCCCAATAATTGTTTGAGACTTGACAGAAAACATTTTGGCTCTGGAATTGCTTTTAATCGTTAGGTTATAAAGGAGTAGAAAAAAATATCACTCAATTACTCAAAACACGACATTATGATCAATGAAGGCTCTCAAGTGTTGGAGATCATACAAAATCATTTAAAATGGCTCCTTAAGTCCTTACTGTTTCTAGTCGTTATCATTACTCAAATACATATAATGTTTCAAAATTTGCTGTTAGAAAGCTTTATCATATATCAATTCAATACGAACTTTTCCCCTGGCTTGAGTGGTAGGAAGCTCACTCCTCAAGATTCATGGGGAAGTTCACCCAGGTTCGAGCCTCAGTGGATGTGAAGGCATTCGCTCTTTGTGCGTCATCATGATGAAAATTGTATGAACAGATACTACATTCTACACTGTAATAGAGTCAATAACATTATATATATATATATGTATGTATGTATGTATGTATGTATGTATGTATGTATGTATGTATGTATGTAGACCTGGCAAAACTAACCCAGACCCGATAACCCGAACCGAATAACCCGGAACTGAACCCGATTTGACCCGAAAACTGAAGAACCGAAATAGAACCGAACACCCAAAATGATCCGAACCAAACTGAACCCGAACCGAATGTATTCAGACCCGATTCAGACCCGAATCCGATTAAACCCGAACCGATTAAACCCGAACTCGGTTAAAACCGGAGCCGATTAGACCCGAACCCGATTAGACCCGAAATTGATCAAATTCATTAATATTTCATTTATCAAATGAATTTGAAGAAAACGAATTACTTATATTTTTTACATATGTTGATGTCTTTCTAAAAAAACATATTTAAAGTATGGGTCCAAACCATGTAACTACTTTCATGTACAAATCTTTTACTTTGCATTTTATAACTTAAGTTAAAATACTTTTGTATTTTTATAGAAAGTATATAAAAATTATAGTTAACTAAATTAACTAAATTTATTATGTGATTTATTCATTTATTAGTATGTATGTGTTTACATTATACTTGAACTAATATAAATTTAAACCGATATAAACTCAAATCTATATAAACCCAAATCAATACAACCCGAATTGATACAAACTTGAATCGATATAACCCGAACCGATACAAACCCGAACCGATA